CCCATCTATGTCTTACATGGTGAAACAAGTAAGGATGAAGAACAGTTTTTGTATACGAAAATCTTTATTGTGGCCATGTAGAACTTTTTTGCCGTTTTTCACCGTCATCATCGTCGTCGTTGTTTCCCTAAGTGCTTGTATTTCGATCACCCGGGAATTCATTTGTTCTTGGTCCGGTCGGTTTTCTTGATCGGTTTGACAGATGTTCGCGCGCCCTCATGTTCCAACTTAACCTTTGACTTAATTTTCGATAACTTGTTGGGGTTATTGATTGTGGCGATTCTCTTTTTTTTCCTGATAAAAGTAAGAAATTTTGAAATATATTTTCGATAGGCACCTGAATACGAACAATCATCATCATCATCATCATTATACAGCGAAATACCGTGAAGCGAACTTCACTGACCGCTGCCAAACTCACAATGCATACAAGTTTAGTGGTGGACAGTGTTGGATCTAGTTTGAGGAAGGGAGAAGATGAGCCACTATGGTCAACACAGTACGCAATCGAACTCTGCATACGTACCGTTCCAACCATTCTGACCTGATAAGAAACGACAACAAGAACGCCACTGCTGTCGGTTCGCTGCCATATCCTTCAGTGTCTCCAACCAACCAGTTGTGGAGTCTTTCGGACCCCAACCTGGAAGGCAAGAGGCACGAAGAGACACGAGATACGAACAATAAATGCTACCTTGTAATGAAGGATCATATTCACGTTCACTCCTATATTCATTATCCACTTTTATTAACTCATATATAGTTTTATTCGTTCTAAGGTGAAGTGACATTAATCGCCAAGTGGTTAGGTGCAAAAAACGTTCCGCGCAGCACTGTAACTTAGTGGACTCGAACACCGAACAATCAATAATACTGCAGCATACCTTAAATCCACGCAACGCATGGATAGTAGTGTATCTTGAATCAGGGATATCATAATCTATGTAACCGCAACAGTAGTCTGAAAGAATCACTCACTTTCGATCAGGAAATTTTGACTTGTCCTCAAGGCTTGATCCATACTCGGTCGCCGTCTCCAAACTCTTTGTGTGGGTTTTGGTCTTCCGCATGAACACCTTCAGTTTTCTACCTTTCAACATAACTCCACGGGCATTCTGGTGGTCCAAGATACAATCTTCCTCTAAATCGTATTTTAACCATGCTTCACCAGTCAAACGATTTATCTTCACGGATGAAGCTTGTGGGAAAACGGATTGAATATCTGCTTCGGAAACCGAACTTTTTATTCCCGATACAAGCAGATATTTGTTTCGTTCTAACGAATCATTCTTCTCACTGAGTTTCGCTCGGGCCCACAACAAGGACAATTTCCGTTTACGTATAATACACCCTTGCCTTGAGTCGAATGCTTTTAGTGCATCTTCAACGGTGGAGAACGTAAGAAATGCAAGTTCAGGCTTTCGCCTATCGCTTCGTCGGCGAAGAGGTCGCAACTGAATGGCAGTCGCGGATGGGAACCGTCTGGCCAATTCAGCAGTACGCGTTTTATAGTGTAGACCATACACGGCCAACTTCTTGCAATCGTACGTAGCTAAAAAAGTGAGCTGAGATAGTCACAATCATTTACCAATATCTTCGGACAAAAAGCGACCGATTTCGGCAACAATAGTTTTATTCAAAAACTGACTCTGATTCAGCTTTAGTTGGCAAGAAACAGCAAGTGCTTTGGATCCAAACTCCAAAAATGCAATACCTTCACTACCGTGGATGTGGGGATTCCACGGAACACGATACGCTTTGGCTTCCGGTGCTAGGTCACTTAAACTCGACGGGTCACACCTTAACGGCAAACCAGATATCCGTACGGTGCATTCATTACGATGTTTTATTCTTTTGATTATCTCCTCTAAAACCTTCAGGTCGTCTGTTTCCTCGATGTTAGCCGTTTCCTTTCCTCCGTCTGAAATGGAAGCGAACTATCAGGAGACGTAAACGTGAAAACTTACTGTCCCGTTGTGCGACAACAGTAGCTTGCTCTCCTTTGATTTTACATCTTTTAACTCCCGAATCTTGATCACAAGGATTTTTCTTACGCTTCGCTGATACCTTCTGACCGCTCGTGGGCAAACCCTATTAGAGTAATAAACCATAGTCACTTTATTATCTTGCAGTGCTCTTTTACAATTGATCAACTATTTAGTTTATGATTTCTCCGTAAATTTATATTTCCTAGAAAATGGTGCTCGTCATCCATTAGTGTAACAGTTTGAGAAACTGAACCACACTAATTCTACATTCACTTAGTGGTACATTGCGGTACAATAGAGCTGGAACCGAAGAATAAAAAGCCACTGCATTGGTTAGAAGAAAAATCCTGCTGGGGCCCTACGTGGTTTGAAACTTCAAGCCCTGAAGCCTAGGTTCTCATTTACCGCAGTATTTCAACGTTTCAACGGTCAGCGCAGGATAGGTACTGTACTGAATGGTTGCCTCTCATATTGACTTTTACCCGTCAACAGTTGTTCAAGTGGGACAAATCGCCAGGGGTAAATCGGCGGCCGAAAGGGAATAAACACCAAAATGTATTTGCTTACTTTCAGCATACGCACCGACTAACTGCAAAGCGGATACACAATTTCAGTTTGTACAACCATTAACCATGCATTTTCGTGCGCCAGTTTTCGCTGCTGTTTTTTGGCTGCCCATTTGGATGAAAGAACAGAATGGATGAGACAGGAAAGTTGAAAGTAGGGTCGAACAGAAAATAGAGAATTTCAGTGGTCTAAGGTTGTAAAGAAATTGAGAAGATGCACGAACGCCACTGTTTACAACACTCATCCATATAACTCAGTGTCTCTAACCATCGGTTACGACCAACCCTAGGTCCCAATCCAGGGAGCCTAACGGAATCTGTGTAACCCAGTCTCCTGGTCAGGGTTTTCATACCCTCGTGCCAGGTCTTAGCTTGACCACTCTGAGCTTTTCTCCACCCACTATCTGCCTCGGCAAACATCCCTCGCCGTGGCAACCTGTCTGCTGACATGCCCCAATCAACGTAATCTATCGGGGTCGATCACTTGCTCCAGTTTCTAGGACAAACTCATCGAACTCATTTGGTTGAGCCGAAGGTCCAACACAGTTGTACTTGCAGGGGATCTGAATACACAGGTTGAAAAACTGAGTGTTTCAGAAGCTTGTTTAGGTGGTGATTGTGCTCGGCCCTGTCAGCGAACAGATAATAGCGATCGACTTCTTTAGTTCTGCGTAGACCACCAGCTTTCTTTTCTTGACAAACCTCGGTGAGTTTAACAGAGGGGACTTACTATTCAGTGATGGAAGCCGATAACCTAAGCTCAGGGACTTGGAGTGACGAACCACATCAGACCTGGTTAGGTTAGGCGCGGTATTGATTCGGACGACAGCTGTACCGACTTCCGGTATCATACTCCATCGATTGTCTGCCGCACGTGAACGGTGTACGCGTGAGAACCAGGCCAGTTTCATACCTGGTCGAGGCTGTATTGACCACATCTTCACACTCCGTCAAATCCTAGGACATGGACACTTCTTTCGTA